GTTGATGCAGATAAAGTTCCAGCGTAAGATGTATTTGCTCAGAATGCTTGCTACTTGACTTACACGCAGCTTTGTAATGGAAATTCCTGGGACCTGATGGATCCTATCACGTAAATGATAGCCCATCGAACGCACACATGTTAAGCATTATCTAATTATGTAGGTTCACAGAGCCTTTAAGATAGCTTTGGTACGCTCTGTGTCTTTTGAAAAATTGTTCCCCATCATGCTGAGAACTCCCAGTTGGACTTGACAAATTATGCTAGTAAACCTGTTCAAGAACTTCGGCAATAAAAAATACCAAAACTTGTGAACATTGTGACAAGTGAAGAAATATATTGTTTGCAAATTTGAAGCATTTTACTGTTTCTTTTCTTTCTTTCTTTTTAATGGATTCAGGAACAGACAATCATTTTCTCTATTCATAACTCTGCTTAGGACTTACTTGTCCTCCTGCAAATGGTAGCATTTTAAAATTACCCGCTGTACGGCCATTCACTCTAATCCAGAGTCTCTTGTGGCCAATGATGCATAAACTAAGAACAGAGGACATATGTGCAACACTGTTTGTTTGTTTGTTTTTTCACTGAAGGAAAGTAAAAAATATTCTAAACCTACAAGAAATCATATAAAATGAGATTTGTTTGTTTTTAAGGCATTTACTCCAGAAGAGCTGTGTTCTACTCTGGAGGTAGGCAAGTTGGACCACGCTTTCAAAACTCAAAAATAAGTTCTGAATATTCATTGTTTTAGCGCTCTTGCCATACCAAAAGGGTAGCTTTCCTGTCACAGGGTGCATTGACACTGTAGAAATAATGTGCCACTTGCACTCCCACAGCTCCATCCTACAGAATGCTGGGATTTGTAGTTTTATGTGGCACCAGCACTCTTTGGCATAGAAGGCTACAGGCTTTGTAGAACCACAAATCCAAGGATTCCATAGGATATTTATTTATTTATTTATTTATTTATATCCCGCCCCCCTGCAGAGCAATTGGGGCAGCTTACAACATTAAAATTTCCATACAGATATGTTCCATACAGATAGGATGGAGCTACAGCACTTAAAGTTGTGTCAAACTGCATTGTTTCTCAGTAGATCCACCCACAGTGATTGTAATAAGATCCCCAACTGCCTATTCATAGTTGTTGTTTTTTTAAAAAGTGCTGAAATTTTTATACAACTATAATTCTAGATATTTTAAAAAAACACATTATAATCTCATTAAAAAAAAAAAGAATAATTGCTGGGCTACCTTTAACTTTGTTGTTGTTGTTGTTGCTTTTGTTGTTGTGTGCTTTTCAAGTTGACTCTGATTTCTGGTGACCTGATCCTATGGTTTTCTTAGCAAAATTTATTCAAAGGAAGTTTGCTGTCGGCTGCCTCTTGACTGAGATAGTGTGGCTTGCCCAAATGGGTTTCCATAGTAGAGTGGGGATTTGAACGCTTGTCTCCCAGAGTCCTAAGCCCTAACTGCATGGGCCAAATAAAACAATCTCCCCCCTATCCCGTTCTCTCAATGACATACGGCCCAAAGCCTTGTTCTGATGCAAATAGACCAGATAACATTTATCTTGTTCAGCACCAGAACTGGGGTATATTCTTCTTACAGTGGATTAAAATAAGTCCCCAGTTGCTCAGGACTTTCCAGAGCCCTCCATTGTGAAGTTGGGGGGGCTGTTTGAAATGCATCCCACTCTGCCACCTGGTGCCCATTCTGCCACTGCTACCAGTCACTCACTCTGAGTAATAATCAGAACAGGATGCCCAGACGTGCGACTGGGCACCTTGCTCTGACTTTGGAGAGAAGTGACTTGTGGCAACAGCAGACACATTGGGAGGCTTATGTGTGTGATCAGCTGTCCAGCATCACAATAACAGGCCTTTGCAACACGGGATGGTTGGGGCAGCTCGGGACCAAGATACTCTGGTATGCCCCATGCCAGTGCAGACAGGACCATAGTCCAACACTCAAACCATTACACCACACTGTCTCTCTAGATCAGTGATTCCCAAACTTTGATGTTTTGGACTTCATGTTTTGGGCTTCAGCTCCCAGAATTCCTGACAGTTGACCAAGCTGGCCAGGGCTTATAGGAGATGAACGGGCTTTGCAGATGGCTCTTTGCGCCATCTTCAAGCCAAGGAAGGGGAGAGGTAGCTGGGCGCTGGGCGCCCCATCCCCTTTCTGAGGATGTTATTGGAGCGCCAGCCCTTCCACACGATGGGCGCTCCGATAACATCCTTCCGGCTCAGCGTCCGGACACGCTGAGCCAGAAGAGATGCTGAAGAGGCGCGTGACACCTCTTGTGGCACCCCTTACGTGGCTTGCAGAAGGAGTGCTATTTTAGCGCTCCTTTCCCAGGCGGCGAAAGGAAGGATTGGGGCCGAGGCATGGGGCAGCCTCAGCCTCGATCTGCCGCTTCCCAGGGCGGCCCATGGCCACCTGTCTGCATCTCCCTGAAATCCAAAATGCCTGGGGGACCAAAGTTTGGGAACCACAGCTCTAGACCATGCTGTCTCTGTACCTTTAACTAAATATACTTAATGTAATTTTCAATAGACAGTATAAGGAGCTGTCCCAGTAGAGTAGTGCTGTTAGTGATGGTCTCAGCTGGAAGAGGTGCCAGACCAATCCAGAATGAGGTGCTCTTTCCTCTGCTGAGAACACCATCGCAAAGAGTGAAGGTGATATTTACACCCTCTGGATAATTCCAAGAAGTTATAACATTCTTCTTAGAAAGGAGCTTCTTTCTGAATTGAGATGTGCTTAACACTCCACAATGTATTCCTTTTCTAAAAGCTGTGCTTTCCCCCAGTAGCTGTCACCCATTTCTTTGTGTGGACTCCAGGTTGTACTGACAAGGAAAGAAGGAAGGAAGGAAAAAAGAAAACTCAGGGCCTCGGCAGACGGCTAATTGAGCCGTCTTCCGGGCCCAGAAGAGGAGGAGCAGCTGCACAAGCGGCACCCCTTCCTCTTCCCAAGGTCGCCCTCAGAGTCGCCGGCCCTTCGCATGGCCGGCGCTCCGGGG